TCAAGAGGCTTAAATAAAAGTGCCCAATAAGTTAAATGGAGCTGATGACGAAATTAAATGTTCCTATTGTGGAAATAACAAACACACACGAGAAAACTGTTTTAAACTCAATGGGTATCCAGATTGGTGGCATGAGTTGCAAGACAAAAAGAAAAAAATGGTGGTGGCTCTAATAAGCGAATAGGCAAGGCAGCCGTGATAACCTCAGACTCTCAACTATCTTTGATTCCTCAAGATGGGACTTTTCAAGACACAATCCATTCATCAGAACTAGGTAATTTTTGTTCGATTTTTTGTACATCTTCTAGTGACAAGAACAGTAATCTTTGGCTACTTGACTCCAGAGCAACCGATCATATGACATATGATGAGAAAGACTTTACTTAGAGCTCCTTACCTTGACACACCAGTGTTGCAAATGCTAACGGAGTTATTTTTCCAGTCACTGGAGCTGGCTCTGTATCTCTATCTCCTTCCCTCAGACTCTCAACAAAATGACGTTGCTGAAAGAAAAAATCGACACATCCTTGAAACTGCAAGGGCTCTCCTCCAAGGAGCCTATGTTCCAACTAGCTATTGGCCGGATGTAGTGTCCACTGTTGTATACTTACTCAATCGGTTGCCCTCCAAGGTCTTAAATTTTAAGACTCCACTTCAAGTCCTATCATCCCATGTTACTCTATCCACAATACTCATGCTTCCCCCTCGAGTATTTGGTTGTGTGATATATGTTCACCTTCACAAAAATCAACAGACAAAACTTGACCCATGCGCTCTTCGATGTCTTTTTGTGGGATATGCTACACATCAGATGGGCTATCGATGCTACGATCCTATGTCCAGATGTACTTATGTAACTATAGATGTCACCTTCTTGGAGTCCGACACATTTTTTTCTCCTGCACCCAATCTCCCTCTTCAAGGGGAGACAAGGGATGAAGAGTTGAATTGATTGAATTTTGAGGTGCCAAATAACATTGAGACAGAGACAGTCCTGACCCAGTGAATGATATGATTGTAGAAGAGGCCGAATCCACTGAACCAGAACCCCCTCCTTCAGTACCCACACACCCATCTCCTGAGAATGTCCATGAGGTAAGAACTCCTTCACATGTCAGCAAATTAGATACTTCTAGTAGCTCTACTTTACCTTTCAGGCATAATCGAGGCAAACCGTCGAGCAGATACTCTCCAGAACTTGAAGAAAGAAGATCAAGGTACCCAATTGCCAACTATGTATCCACCATGAAGTTGTCTAACCCAGTAAAAGCTTTTGCACATGCTCTCTCTTCTAATCATGTCCTAGCGAGAATTGAGGAAGCTCTATCAAACTCAAAATGGACTCAGGCAAGAGATGAGATAGAGGCACTAGTAAAGAATAACATATGGACACTAATTCCACTACCTAAAGGAAAGAAGACAGTAGGATGCAGATAGGTTTTTTCCATCAAACACAAGGTAAATGGATCCATTGAACAGTACAAAGCAAGGCTAGTCGCAAAGGGTTATATATAGACGTATGGGGTAGACTATCAAGAGACTTTTTCACTAGTCGCTAAACTAAAAACTATCAGGATACCGTTCTCTTGCAGCTAATCTTGACTGACTACTACATCAACTTAATGTGAAGAATGCATTTCTCCATAGTGACCTCGAAGAAGAAGTCTATATGGATCTCCCTCCGGGGTATACGGGGCCTTCACACAATGTAGTATGCAAATTGCAGCGAGCATTATATGGCTTAAAGCAGTCACCTCGAGCATGATTTGGACGATTCAGTGTGGCAATGAAGAAATATGGGTTCAACCAGAGTGATTCAGATCGCACACTCTATCTGAAGCATAACGAAGGCAAAATAACTGTAATGATAGTCCATGTGGATGACATGATTATTACAAGGGATGATAAAGAAGAGATATGCAGAATCCAGAAACAACTAGCATCTCAGTTCGAGATGAAGAACTTGGGAGGACTCAAGTACTTCCTAGGAATAGAAGTAGTTAGATTGAGACAAGACATATTTCTATCCCAAAGAAAGTATATACTGAACCTACTAACTAAGGTAGGAATGTTGGGATGCAAGCCAGCAGATACTCCAATCATCCAAAACCATCGACTGAGTGAGTCTTCAGATCAAGTGCCAACCGATAAAAGAAGATATCAAAAGTTAGTTGGAAAACTTATATACCTGTCACATACCCCTCCAGATATTGCCTATGCTGTAAGCTTAGTTAGTCAGTTTATGCATAACCCCAGTAAAGATCACATGGATGCTGTGATTCGAATACTTCAGTATCTAAAGTCCTCACCTGGAAGAGGACTAATGTTTTCAAAGAATGATCACTTGAAGGTTGATGGTTATACAGATGCAGATTGGGCTGGAAATGTTTCAGATAGACGGTCCACCTCAGGCTACTTCATGTTTGTAAGTGGAAACATTGTTACATGGAAAAGTAAAAAAACAAAAAGTGGTATCCTTATTGAGTGCTAAAGCGGAGTTTCGAGGAATGGCAAAAAGACTTTGTGAACTCCTCTGGGTTAAGAAACTACTCACTGAACTTGGTTTTGCTCCTACATTAGAGATGGATCTCTACTGTGACAACAAAGCTACCATTGCCATATCTCATGACCCAGTCCAACACGACAGGACAAAACATGTGGAAGTAGATCATTACTTCATCAAGGAAAATCTCGTAGCAAAGACAATTGTTTTCCCTTTGTGAATTCTAAAGACCAACTAGCTGATATACTCACAAAGGCAGTTTCAAGCAAGGGCTTCCACAACTCACTCGACAGGTTGGGCATCAAAGACCTGTATGCATCAACTTGAGGGAGAGTGTTGGCGTGAGATGTTAGAAATCAATTTAGGAAACAAAATCACCTATAGGAATGGAATGAATCAATTGCAGGATGCTCAATTACCTACAAATCTGTATTGTCCCAAAATAGATGAATTCCCTATCCTATATAAGTGTACTGTACCTATTGTAATTATATGAATGAAAATTACTCTTGGCGTATATGAATTAACATGGCCTACACAACCAGCCTAACAAATCAGAATGCTAGAACAACCAAAAAGGGAAAGATCAAACAGAATTCCAAAGAACCAACAAGATCTATATAGTGAACTGAAAAAGAAGACTCCTTAGCAGACTCCAATTTTCTTGGAAAAATAGAGAGTCCATCGTCATTCTGTATCAATAACAAGAATTTTAATACATTCATTAACAGCATCAATAAAGATTAATCTTTTTTTTTTACCTTCACCAAGCAGCCTGAGAACCTATATTGCTCACATAAAGCAACCACATAAAAGGATCGATCTAACATAAAATACAGTCATTAAGAACACTATAAGATCGTGTTTTCAAACACAACCCACAAAATAAACAAGCTAAAATCAAATTGATAGTAAGCCAAACCTGCTAAATAAAACATTAATCAAGAACACCCAAACAATTACACTTCAATTTAATTTAATAAATCAAACTTTATTCAGACAAAAAAAAGGAACAAAAGTTATACCTCTCATATATCTCCATTCATAAGGTTTGAGCAGAGTCTTTCCATAAGTGAAGCTAGAAACAGTGAAAGTATTGTACAGACCACCGCGTACCTGATCTTGTGAAACACACGTATACACAAAAACCATAAAGAGCAAACATAGATTCAGATAAGACTGACCCAGAATCCAATTCCTTCTCATCTTTGCTTTTTTCTACTTTTCACTAATTCTTCACTAAAAATTTTTGAATTATTAAATAAATAATAATAATAATAAGTATTCCATGAACATATCTATGCAGTGCTGCAGTATATATGTCTGAAATAAAATAAATTAGTTGGGTTATTTCTTTGATGATTAGATACTTTAGAACTCTATTATATGCATACAGAATTGGCGTGCGTTGATTTTTTTTTCTTTCTTGAATAATAAACCAAGGAAATGATCACGCGCTGGTTTATTGCGTGAAGTCGCGCTCCGGTTAGGGTCTGAGTGCTGGGTTTTTAACATTTCTACCGTTAATTAAGGGAAAATTGCAGTAACGATCCCTAATCTTTTCATTTTTCATGAATTTTATCCTAATATTTATTTTGTGCCAGCAAAGGTCTCTAACCTTTCATAAATATGCACACGAGATCCGTATGGACGGAACCGTCCAAAATACCATCAGAGAAAATTTCTTAAACTATCTCCTACCGCGACGGTTTTATTGAACGTTGATACTTTTTTGAACGGTGTTTTTGGATGGTGTTTTTGACAATTTTATTAAATGTTGATTCCTTAATTTTCTTGATCAGCTTACGATTTTTTGGACGATTTCCGTCCATATGGACTTTAGATGCATATTTATGAAAGGTTAAGACTCTCCGTTGGCACAAAATGAAGATTGTGGTAAAGTCTATAAAAATAAGAAGGTTAGGGACCGTTGCTACAATTTTTTCGTTAATTAATGATACAAAAGTAATGATATTCATTCTTAATGGATTGAGCACAAATCTAAGTGTCATAGTTTCAATTAAATGAGTTATATAATTTTGCATTATTCTTAAATAAATTTATTATTTAATGTCATGCACTTGATACTCAACTCGATGAATAGCAATACTCATTTATAAAATATTTAATGAAAAATAAAATGTTTAATGAATTTCAACTAGCTTTATTAACTTATTGCAATATATTTAATTATGTTGAATTGTTTTTTTTTAATCGTATTTGAAAAATTATATTTAAAAATTTTATAATTATACTTATAATAATATTTTTTTAACTAAATGATTTCATCTAAATGAAAAGTATGAAAAAGGTTATATCTTAAAAATTAATAGAAGAAAAATACATAATTTAACTACAATAATATAATAATTTTAAGATAGTATAGATGGATAAACGAAAAATAAATATGAAATAATTTTTTTTTTATTTTGAAAATGAAATTTATTGCAATCGAATCATTGTATATCACTAGTTGTAAATCTCTATCTCTATTCTCTTTAAAGAGAGGTTGGGCTAAATACTGTTCATTTTGCACATTCCATTTCACACTTAAACTAGTTCGTTACTGTTCATTAACTTGTTTGCATCGTTTATCCATGAATATCTCTCCACTGTTCGTTAAATATCTCGCAAATCACGTCTCTATCCACTTCCTTCCTCGTTCGCTTCTTTTCTCATTTCTTGGTTTCGTACTAACCTCAAGAACTGCACTCCAAAACGATATGAGCAGCAAAGAGAATCTACTGGCGACAAAGCTCAAGTGGCCAACCCATCTGAAGGTCACTATTTAGCAATTCTCTATCTGTATCTATGTTGTATGTATATGTATTTTCTTGATTTCACCATTCTAACCCTTGTAAATATTGTAGATTCTAACATATTGTTGGGTTCTTTTTCTTCACATACCATCGAAAAATTCCATGCTAGAATTTTCACTTTAATATATTGGATTCTTTCTTAATAAGGAATTTGAAAAACCTTAAAACTCCCTCAAATTAAAAAATCTCTCTTTTTAATCTTGCATTCAATTGAATTTTCTTCATTCTAATCGATAATAAATTTTCCATTTTCGCATTAATCCCTTTTGTTATTTCATTTGATCAAAGTGTTTTTCCTTTTTTTTGAATGGGTATGCAGTACTCCATTAGAATAAGAATTTTTTCTTCATCATCTTACATATTTTGCATTCATATGCACCCAAATTATTATACATATGTTTTCATTCATGTTTAGAAAATCTTAAGTTGTTTGGATGACTCGAAGATTAAATATGCATTCTTGGAATTTGTATTTATTCAACAAGTAATTGATTTATCTAAGGTTAATTCATGTATGATTATTTACATAGGAAATGAGAAGTTGGGTTTAAGAAAGGTTTTCTAATGCAGGGGTTTGCACCTAAGAATTTTTTCTATGATTTAAACAAAGTCCTTGAATTTTGCTGAGTTTTGATTCACTTTTCAATTTTCATGACTTAGATGAAGAGAGTTAGTGAAAATTCTGAAGGAGAAATGAAATGTTGGGATTTAAGAAGTTTAGGTGTTTTGATGGGATTGGTGAAAACTACAGGAGTTTTGAGACAATGGGTGGTGGAAAAGAGGGTGTGATATTAAAAATGGAGAAGTGGGTGTTGGAGCAATGAATCAAAATGATTTCTTTGTTGGAAATGAGGTTTCTCTAATTTTGTTGTGTATTCAAGTCTTCTTCATGTGAATGGTCAGAACAAATGGGACTTTGATATCAACATTGATTTGATTTTAATGATCAGAAAGAGGAAAATAGGTTGGATTTTGATGTTAGTGTGCCCAATGTGCCGAACTCTAACATGAAAGATGGTGGAATGGAAATTGTATATGTGATAAGAGTGTAAAATATGATATTTTTTCCTTTTAATTATTGCATTATGCAATTATATTATGTTAAAATGCACTCATTACTCCTATGTTTTAGGTTGCGTTTTGGTGAAAAAGATGAAATTCGGAAAAAACAAGCGAAAAGGGACCAAAATGAAAGAAAGCGAAAGTTCAGGGACGAAGTTGAAAATAATTCAAAGATGAGATGACCGATGGAATGATGATTCAAGAATGCTAAGGGTCAATTGGGTGCAATTAGAAGTCAAAGGAAGTGAAATATGATCATAACATATTCACATATCAATTCCTAATCAAAAAAGTTGCGCATCGATTTTCAGCCTTATATTTAGACCTATTTTTGATATGGAAAATGATCGATCTAGAAGATGATGTCTGAATCAGAGTTGTATCCCTTTGAGATATCTTTCAAATGCAACTTGAATCATCTCAATCGGATATCAGAAGGAAAAGTTATGGCTAAAATACTAAAAGTTGTCAGGCGGAGAAAATGACAATAACCATGCGGTCGCACTAGCACCTCCAGGGAATTCCAGAGGCCAAAATGTTTCTACCATGTGACTACAACACTTATAACCATGCGGTCGCATGGTTATTCCTTGAGGCCAAAATTTATGTTTCCTTAATCGACTCAACCACTTATGGAAACACGGTTTTCACACGTTTTAAACCCTAATCTCAACCAGAATGTCTATTATTCATTCTCTATCACTTTTCTTTGATTTTTGGCTCAAGAAATTCATGGAGAACTAAACTTATTGGTGAAGCCACGAAGGAACTCGATTAGATTTGGGAATTTTCATGTCTTTTCTTGCTTAAATATGTTCTTTCATTGTTAAACAATTCTAGATTTAGATTTCTTATTCTTATGAACATGTTTTGAGATTGGTTTAATTTGTATTAAATTTTCATGGATTCTGTTGACGTCAAAATTCACAAGGCTAATTTTAAGCCAACTTTAAGAAAAAAGGGAATTTTTTATCGAAAGAAATCACAAAATATGTTGAGAAAGTGTAATTGTGTCATGAGCTTTTACATGAATTCACTTGCCCTTTACAAGATTTTTGCCCTACTATTTATACATGGTTCCAGCCGAAATTATATCAAATCAGTCAAATCAACTATAGTACCGAGCTCGAAACTCGGGTCGTCGAATTCTCCTGTGATTGGTCAACGAGGCATGTGGACATGTGTCAATATTTTCCCCAGGTAATGATGACCTACAAGGGGCTTGAGAATCATGGCTTCGGATTGTCGGTTTTGGGCGGTGATGACGTCACTTGTGGCAAGTGTATATGATTGATAGGGTGATGTGACAGGAAGTAATCATGATATTTTCCTGAGATAACGGCGAGCTAGTCCGATCTGGGAGCAGTGACCGAACTCACATTTGCCTGTGGTAGGTTTAGCGAATTGTTTTTATTAGATCGGAGTTTGGTAGTCAACAGTTACCCCTCAGGTCAGTTCTGTTGTGAGGGGGAGCTGACCTTCCATCTTATCGGACCCTTTTTTCGAGGGCTTCAATTATTATTGTGCTAAGTGTCACGTTTTTATAGGGGTGAGCTGTACAGCATTTTAGACAGCTTCTTTGAGAAGTTTAGTGAAGAGACCGTTTTGACTAACCAGCATTTTTTGCCGTTTGATCTATTCCTCTTTTTTTGAATGGACGGTCTGATTTCAGACCCTTTGATTTGTCTTCCTTTTAAATCCCTTTTGGCCTTTCATTTTTCCTTTTTACTTTATGCAATTTTTTCTCCAAGGTAGCAAAATACTCCCGATGTGCCCTATCTTCCTTCTGAGTGAGGTCATCTTTCCTTCGATTTCTCAGGTATTCCTTCGCTTTTTCTCTTCATCCTTCCTGTTCGTATTTTCATTTTGATCTTTACATGAGTTCAGACGAGTCTAGAGTACACTTCTGGGGAAATCAGTAGGAAAAATATGTTCTTTCTTAGTCGAGTTCGTCATCCAGTTGTAAAGAAATTTTTACTCCTGTCCCTATCTCCATAGTTAACCCAGTGGACCTAGGACGTACTGTCATGGAATCTGGTGGTGAGGGCTCATGAAGGGAGGTCGGGAATGTTAGGAATGTTGAGGGGAGTGTCCTTGAGAAGTGGGGAGCGAATTCTTACAGGTTAGTTGTGACAGGAGACATGTTAGCTCGCTGGCGAGCTAAATACGCGATTCCGAGTTCGGTAGTAATGATCATACCAGAACCTTTTGACCGAGCTGATAATCTCCCAGAGAGATGTGTTGCTTTAAATTCGGCCATACTTCAGGCTGGTCTTAGACTATCATTTCCAAGGGTAGTTCATAAGTTTCTTTCTTCTTGGGGCATAGCTCCCACGCAGTTATGTCCCAATGGGTGGCGAACCTTAATTGCCGCCCTCCTTCTTTGGGATAGGATGGGGAATCCCGAGCTGAGCGTTCGACAATTCAATTCATTGTTTATATTCAAAGAGGATGGAAAGAACTCTAGCTGGTGGTATACTAGCGTTAGACCGAGGACGGGGGGAGGTCATTAGTGCTGGACACTCCTTCCTCGATCAAAAAATAGAAGGAAGAGTTCTTTTACGTGTCTGGGGAGTGGCAATTCCACCCTTCCGAGGTGAACAAAGAAGATGTGGTTCCCCCTCTCTACCATTCTTTGTGTAAGTTTTTTTTGATGATTTGACCTTTTGACGAGGTGAGCATTAATGTAGTACCGACCTTTACCCTGTTTGCAGATTGCAAGAAAGAAACCCTGACCAAGGACAAGCAACAACGAGCTGAGGTGATAAGGGCATTGCCAAAGAGGTAGAGGTCTTGTAAATTTGTGATTTCAGATTCGAACTTATTCTAAGCCGGTTTAGTGCAAGTTCGAGCGTCCAGTTCACCAGTCCCCAGAGGATCTACTTCTCTGTGTGTGTGTGTGTATATATATAACCGAACTTCCATGTCGGTTACTCCACGCATATCTGAGGTCATTCCTTTGTCCAGCTCTTCTCCCATGGTGGCCATTACTCTGCCGTCACCAACTCCTCTCTCTCCTGCTCCAGTTGCAGCCTCCGTGGCTGGGACCAGCTCAGTTAGGTCACAGGAGAGGTGCCTTGACCTTCATCGATCGAGCTTAGACAGTTTGGTGGGCCATCAACTAGAGATCCTTCTCGACTATCTCCATGTTCCATCTCCCCCTAGAGAGGTGACAACTGCATTCACCTCACCTTGCGGGAATCAGCAAACTTGCTCACCAGGAGCTGGGGTGAGAAAGAGCGGGGTTATCTAGATAAGATGCCCATTGGCGAGGCCTTAGTCACTGCACAGCTCCACGGTCACCGATCCATCTTGTACATGATGGTCGTTGCAGCTAAAGTATTCTTGGTTTGTGCTGTGCTTTATGATTTTTTTTTATTTTGACAATTTTATTGATTTAGAGACTTTTTGATGTTTTTGGAAAATAGGTGAAGTTCGAGCTGGATAAGTTGATGGAGGCTAAGGATTAAGCTTTCAACCTTTACCAGAGTATGGAGGCTGAGAAGGCTCAGTTCGCTCTGAAGGAGAAGGAGTATGAAGAAAAAATTAACCAGATGAGAAACTAGCTAAACTCCAGGCTCGATCAAGAAGAGAGGTTTATGAAAGAGATTAGAGCTCTGAGGCCCTCGGAGGAGGAGGCCAGAGGTCGGGCTGAAGAGGGGAAAATAAGATTTGAGAAGAAGTGAGCCAAGGTTGTGGAGGTAATCTAGAAGATGCAGGAGGCAAATGAAAGGGCCAGAGAGGCCGCCATGAGGGCAAACGAGGCTAAGGCTAACGCCACCAAAGCGGTGGAGACTTGGAGGGAGTCCCCCGAATTTGATGCTTTAGCCTAGGATGCCTATGTCGTGGTGTTAGAAGAGTTGGTGAAACATATCCAAAAGGAGAGGTCGGATTTTGATGCAACCTTCTTGGAGGATGCTTTGGCGGAGTAGAAGGAGGAGCTTCGGAGGCTATCCGAAGTGGCTGGAGTTTGGGTGTCCCCAGTTGAGGAGGATACACCAGAGACGACCCCTGTTCCTTAGGATCCCCCAGAAGCCTAGATTCCTTTTATCTTTATTTTTATAAGACTTGGTTTGTATTTATTACGTTTGCAGATCAACTTCACTTTTGATTTAGTATGGTGCATTTTATTTTGGCAGTAAGTTCATTTTAATATGCTTGCTTATCAATATTATGAGCTACCTTAGTGATTTCTGAGATTATTCCTGCCTGCGCATGTGGCAGTACTTTGGATAATTCCTTAGGAGGAATTTTCAATAAGTGTCGTAGCACATATGACCTTAGGTCGGCCTACGTGAGGAGCAGGGCTTTTGAAAATTCCCAATGAGGAATTTCCACTAAGTGTTGCAACACTTATAACCTTAGATCGGCCTGCGTGAGGAGCAGGACTTTTGAGAATTCCTAAGGAGGAATTTCTACCAAGTGTTGCAGCACTTACAACCTTAGATCGACCTGCGTGAGGAGCAGGGCTTTTGAGAATTCCTAAAGAGGAATTTCCACTAAGTGTTGCAGTATTTACAACCTTAGATCGGCCTGTGTGAAGAGTAGGGCTTTTGAAAATTCCTAAGGAGGAATTTTCACTAAGTGTCATAGCACATACGACCTTAGATCGGCCTGCGTGAGAAGCAAGACTTTTTGAGAATTCTGGTGAAATGCTGAATAGAATGGTCAAAATAGGGAGTCCCTTTTATTGATGTGATTGACATTACAAGCGGGTTTTACATGTCATGGACTTTTCTAGTTCACTGATAGTAATGCTTAAGGTGCTCAGCATTCCAAGGGTGGGGAAAAGGTCTACTCCCCAAGTTTTCCAGTTCATATGCCCCTTTTAGCATGATCTTTGTTATCAAATAGGGACCTTTCTAATTCGAACCCAAGCATCTGCTGTCGACCTCCCTTGTGGGGAGGATTACCTTCCATAAGACGAGGAATCCCACTTCGAATTCTCTTTTTCGTACTTTTTGATTGTAGTACTTGGCGTTTCGCTGCTTGTAAACGTCATTTTTGAGTTCAGCTTTGTTTTTTTCTCCTCGGCTAGGTCGAGTTCCCTACGAAGATCTATACGGTTCCTTTTTTTCGTCGTAATCAGTTATGCGCAACGAGGGAATGCTAACTTCAAGTGGGATTACAGCCTCTACACCAAAGGCCAGTGAGAACGGGATTTCTCCCGTGCTAGTCCTTGCAGTGGTGCGGTATGACCATAGCACATTGGGGAGTTCATTGGCCTATCCCCCTTTAAACAAGTCAAGTTTTGCTTTCAATGTGTGCTTAATAATTTTGCTAATGGCTTCGACTTGGCCTTTTGCCTGCGAATGGTTTGGCGTTGAGAAATGTTTATTGATGTCGAACTTTTCACAGAAATCTGAAAGTCGTGCATTGTCGAACTGTTTTTCATTGTCCGTAACGATGGGGTGAGGTATGCCAAACCTACAGATGATTGATTTCCACAAAAAATCGACTGTTTTTTGTTCAGTGATCTTGGCAAGTGGCTCTGCCTCGGCCCATTTAGTGAAGTAATCTACTGTAATGATGGCGAATTTTACGCTTCCTTTTCTAATGGGCATAGGTCCAATTAGGTTGACCCCCCATTTTGCAAAGGGCCAGGGTGCTGTCACCGGGTTCAGTTCGCGAGGTGGAATATTTATGATGGGGGCAAGGCACTGACACTTGTCGCATCTTTTGACAAACTTGAGGGCATCACGTCTTATTGCAGGCCAAAAGTATCCTTGTCGTATGATCTTGTGGGCTAATGAAAGCCCATCGGAATGATTTCCACGTATTCTTTCTTGAACGTCTCGTAGGGATTCTTGGGCTTCTTCTTCATTCAAACATCTTAATAAGGGCGTAGAATATCCCCGCTTATAGAGGACATTATCAATGAGTGTGTACCTGGCCGACCTGA